CTTTCCTGTGGAAAGCTTAAAGTATGTCATATTGGCTGCAGGAAAGAAATAAACAGTAATTAATAAAATTTAAGATATCTATAAAAAAAAAAAAAAAAAAAACTTCACTAAATTCAAATAAGGGGTGACGTTGACAGAGGAAAGCTTTCTCACAAAGGGCAGCAGGCAGGTATAAGGGTTTCTAGGTTAAAATCAGTATTCAAATGTTTATTTAAAAAAATGTGTCTAATAATTCAGGGACAATTTAGGAGGTTTGTTCTCCAGCATGACAGAGAACAAGACAAAGAAGAATCTGATTACATGCAGCTTGGAAATGTCTGACAATGACATAGCTGTTCCAAATATGAATTAATAAGGAACTAGTTTAAAGTTTAATTAGTAAATAATCCGAAGCTGTTGCCTCCCTCAAGTGGTAAAAACCAGAATCACAACAGCAACCAAGATTAAAGTGAAACCCCTCCACATGAGCTGGAAGAAAAGGCTGCACATTAGTATTTCAATTCAATTCAATTCAGTTTATTTCTATGGTGCCAATTCACACACTTGTAGCGACAGTGGAGAGGAAAAACTCCCTTTTAGCAGGAAGAAACCTCCAGCCAAACCAGAGTCAGTGTGAGCGGCCATCTGCTGAGGCCGACTGGGGTTGAAGGAGACAGAAGCAGAGATACAGAAGGCAACTGTAAAAGGCGGCCTCATCCAGGAAACCCACAGCCAGGCAGACGGGCACCGAGCCAGCTCCCATGCCAGAGGATGAAGAGAGAATATCCAGCCAGTCACAGTCAGAGAAACAGGACTACACTGGAAAAACAGGCTGATCTCCAACAACGATAAACAAAGATGTTGATGGTAGCAGCACAGCTGATATTCATCTCTCCAAGATGGTGTCACAGCCAAACAGGAACAGACGAGTAGAGAACATGTGCATGTTTATGTCTTTCTTATATCTAAAAACCCTTAAAGCAGCATGAAGAAATCACTGGTTGCTGATAGGCCCTTGGTGGTACACGGGGTTGTGAAGTCACCAGTCGCCATATTGGTACTCCCTAGTTAGACCGGTCGGAATGTAAACAATACGTGCGCTACAAAACAAAGATACATTTCTCACTTTGACACACACTTGCTGTTTCATTGCATCAGTAGATTTATGTGATTCATGATAAAACAAAAAGGCACATCAGATTGCATATCCAGTATGAAGTCCATGCAGTCTATAAATCATGTATAACAATTTATGCAAATCCATCACAATAAAATGAGTCTGTCAGTGAAGCATAATAATGCTGTAGTCACATATTAAGAATATTACACACCCACTATCTGATGATGTGCCAAACGTGCTAAATTGATGATGTACATGTAACATACATGTATTGATTACATAGTTATGGTAAGTACATTACAAATAGGCATTTTTATTGTGTGACTCCTTGAAAGTGGGGAGTACCAAGATGGCGAAAATGTGACTTTGTTTTTTCGGGCTATCAGCCATCCAGTGAATAAATAGAGATCAGTGCAAGAAAGGCCCAGGAGATTTATGTTAGTTCTGTCGGTGAATTTGTATTATTATCAATTAAATGCCTTCAAAAATCTGTGTTAGCTTTCTGTTTGATGATTTTTCAGTTATTACAATTGATGTTGTTTTTATTTCAAATCCTGACAACCTGTCTTATGCTGATAGGAACATATAGGTTTCTCTATATTTACAAGTTGAAGGAAAGTCGGGAGTAGATTGCTGACATTTTTCTATCTGTTATTGTTCTTCAAATAAACATCATATTTAAATTCTCCCCAATGAGGCTAATTACGTCTACAGAGTCATACTCTCATTTATTATAGAGAAACTAATAAATAACCATTGCTCATAAACTGACGGAAACCTGTTAGGTGTAAATTGGCGCCCTCTGGTGGACATTTGAAGATGTGTCGCACCAACGTTGACTTCTATGGTTTAGGATCTAAGGATCTCTAATGGTTTTTTTCTGTCACTTTTTTTTTTTTTAAATACATTTTTCCAGAGATACTTTAATCAATAAAACCAGCATAAATAGGGCTCTTATAAAAGCATTGATATCTAATAAGACCAATAATATCTATCTATCTATCTATCTATCTATCTATCTATCTATCTATCTATCTATCTATCTATCTATCTATCTATCTATCTATCTATCT